AGTATAGAAACATTAAAGGTTTTTTGTTTTTTCTTACTCAAAAGACATGTATCATTCCAATTAATGACAATTTAAATTTTTCATTGATACTAATTGACTACTTATTAACCTCTATATATATTTAATGTGTGGTTTGTTTAGGATTCACTATTAGTTGAACTGAGCTTTATTATGAGGGTCAAAGTGGATTTCTGTTATTATTTAATCAATCTTAGATATAATTCACTTTAATGTAATCATAAATTATAGAAATAAGAAATTATTAAATAAATTAATTTATTTTTTAATTTTATGATTGGCAATATATTTAAGATTTCTTGTAAGTTATAAATTCAGTATTTGAATTCTCCTAAAAATACAATATAAAAATAAAAAAGAGAAAAAATTATTATCTATTGCTGTTATGCAATTTTAATTTCGCAAATGGGTTTTAAACTAACCCCAAATTATTTTCAATTACATTTAATTAAGATTTTACCTATCAACACTTTAAATTATTATCTATATTTTATGAATTATTAAATAAAGATTGGAAAATATTTTAATAATTGTATTTTAATAAAATTAGAATGAATATTGTGAATAAGATATTAATATGCATAATTAAATAAAATTATTTAACAATCAATTTAGAAAATTGTCATCATATAATATTTTTATTCATTTATAGATAAGTTTCATATGAACATCATATGTCTTCTTATTTCTAAAAGATTTATGCAGCTGAACATTAAAAAAGAACTTAGCAAAAATTGATATGTCAAATGATTAACTGATTGCGATTTTCTCTTAAAAATTTTCATTTTACTGAATTAATCTAAATCTATAATAAATTTAATTATATTCAATTCTACGTTATATATTTTAGCTAAAGTTACTTTATCATCTTATTGATAATTGTTATCTGAATTATTATATCCCAAATTGTTAGTTTAATAAATTGAGATGAGATTAATTATCTCATTAAAAACAATTTTTATATAAAAATAAGACCACTTATTATGACGGCTGTCTAATTTCATGGTATTTTCATACTAATATTTAATATGAATTAGGTTATTTAAGACAATTTTTGTTTATATAATAAAAGTATATTTAATTTCTAATTATGAATTTAATCATTATTTTTTTTTAAATTAATGTAATTGAAGACTCAAGTTAACTATAATAAAAATAAATGATAATAAGAGAATTAATCAATAGCAAATATCAAATGTGATAGAAATAGCTTAATAATTTTAATTAAGAATAAAAAATATTGATAAATTTTATCATATTTGTTTCAATTTCTCTAAATTACTTTTCTCACTTATGCTGTTCAACACCATATTTGATTAGATCTAGTTAAAGTTTTCGCTACAATTGTAATTGCATGAGATTTAACATTTAATTTAGTGATTGTTACTATTAATCCTTCTGAAAAGGATTGTTTTGATTGCTATTGTTTCGTAAATTTTTTTAATTAATGGAGCGCTTATAGAAGTTAAAAGGCTTTTAATAAACTCAGTTGAAGAAGGCACACCTTTAAATTTTATATTATGAAGGACTTTTCTATTTTAACAACAAATTATTGATGAGTTTGTGATTAAGACAGCCAGCTTGCTCATGTTTAGGGTTGATTTTACTATATAAATTTGATATGTTTAATTTAATTTAATATATGTAGAATTTAAATAACATTATTATAAATATTATATTTATTGATATTTATGATGATGCTATTAATGATATATAATGTCATTAATTTATGAGAAGTACAAGTTATTTTGGCGATTAATCATTTGTTCTTAATTCATAGTAATTCGAAAAATGTTGGAATAGTAGTTCATTCCTACAAGAGGGTTAGAGAATAATTAAAATTCATTACCTCTAGGTTTCAAGCTTTACAATCTAACCATTAGACGATTCATAATATTGCAGAGTATTTATAAATTTTTATAAGTTTAACTAACTTTGTGTCATAGTTAATTATGTGTAGTAATAAGATTAAAAATTAACAAGTTAAGTTTGGGCAAACCCATTTAAGATTTGCCAAAAAACTAATTTATACCTTAATTACAATTAGAATGTCAGTGAATATTTTTCCAAAAATTAAACTAGTCTTACATATGAAAAATATATTTAGTATTCATATTGTAATAATAAAATTGATTAGTAACCAATACAAATAATCCATAAAATTATCAATTATTTATTTCTAATATCACATCATATCCAAAAATCTTTAGATTGTTATTAATTTAAGGTCTTGAACAAGCTTAGATTCAAATCAATTGAAAGTTTTAGAGTTATTATTAAAGAGAAAACTAATATATATAAAATTATTAAAAAAAAACCTTAAACTTCTTTTATAGCCTATTCTATTTTCTCTTTGATTTCCAAATATTGATATTTTTATTAAAAATAATTTTGGGAAATTTTTGAATTTCTAAACAAGTTCATAGTTAAATTTCATTGTTTATTGTATGTCAGATTTATAACTATATACCTTAGATTAAATAAAAGCTTTTTTCTTGGAGTTGTTTTATCGATCAATATAAAGAAATATCAATAAATTAAGGTTGATATCAATGTTTATCAATGCTTCTTCTGAATGGTTATAAAACCTAAATCATTAAATTATTCTAGATATTAAATTATCTTAGTTTACTATAATTAGCTTATTTAATATAACAAAACCATTCTCTTAATTAATTAAATTGAGTTCAGATCAACAATATATATAATTTAATTTAAAATAAACTGTGATGCCTGATGAGAATTTTTTTGATTAAAAGGATTTTTTAAATTATTAACAAATGCAAGATTTATTGATTTAAATAATTTATGATCATACTCATTTAACTCATTTGTTTAAATTGAAGAAAATCACTTGAAATAGAAACACTAAATCCTTTATATTAGGTAGCACATTAATAGGTGAAAATCAATTTCTTTAGTTTTGGAATTTGGTCTAAATATAATCCTCTTAGCGCAATACTTTAGACTGGTCTAGTTGGAATCTTTGATAGTAATTGTTATCAACTTCATCACATAATTGATAAATAAATGAAGGATTTAAATTTCATATATTATGATTGTTTAGATTATGAGGCAAAAACAATAATAAAGACAGACTATACAGTTTGTAAACGACGATGATGAATAGAAAAAATATGAAATTAAAGTTGAAACATTTGAATACGAAAGCTTTTGGTATTTTTTTGAAGTGATTTAAAAACGATTTGAAATTTTGGTAATATCATAATAGAAAATATAAATTCATAGTTTTGATGAAATAAGATACCCATTTAAGGGAAAAGATCTCTAATTTACTTTTGGAAGTAGCTTGATTGTAGGTAATTCAAGAATTGAATTAATTAAAAAAGGTTAAAAATTCTCATATTTTCC